ATAGTATTTTCTTTACTTAGAGGTTACAAAGAATTCGATATTGAATCGACTGATAGCGCTGAAAGAACAGATTCAAATAAATATATGTTATTTTAACGGTAGTATTATAAATTTAATGGTATATGGTACATTATAATTTTGTTTTAGTTGCAGCATTTGATATACTATTTTATAATGATATAATTTTACGCAATAAAATTATATGAATGGACTCAGCGTATATCGCATCCTAATGCCAAATATTAGCTTAAATATAAAAGAAATAATTAATATTAAAGATGATTGTCAGAATAAAAGTAAAAATCATTGTAAAATTAAAGATGACCTTCAGAATAAAAGTAAAAATCATTGTAAAAAATTCAATATATGGTTTTCATTTTATAAAAATAATAAATTTATTATGGCCATTGAATTACATAGTTTAATTAATAGTAGAAATTATTAAAATATCAGTAAATAAAAATTAATGCATTAATAAATTGAATTTAAGTAAACTTTTGAAAAAATTTTTTTTGCTAATACTTACGATTCTTTCTAATTCATTAAAATGAATTTTGAAGAATACGAATTTAAATGTTACAAATAAAAAAATACAAAACTTGTAGTTATACATTTACACTAACATATTTTAAATTATTAGATTTACTAAGTAATCTTAAAAGTTTGTTTACTAATAAGAAGCGGTGCTCCGAAACCCAACGGATCCCGTTTTCCTAGTTTTAAACTAAACACTTTTGGAATATTTGTTACGGATTAGCCCATGTCTGATACCAAGTAATTCAAGCCAAGTAATCAGCTTCGAATGTTTTCATGAACTATCGCACAAATGATGATAATTTTAGGCTTAGAGAAGTTTTAGAAATCAGCCTAATTCACCTAAGCATCAATTCTTCACAAACGCTGGTTTGTGGAATATTTTCTGCGGCTTAGCGCAGCTGAATCGGATACGCTGGCTTGCAGCACTAATAAGCAAGCAGTTCAAGCCGTAACTCATCAACACGTCAAAGGCGACAGGTTAGTAAATTACTTCTTGCAAAATTAATTATATATATATATTAAGAAGGTTACAGTACGATTCTCCGAAAGTTATTTTTCTGCTCGACATCACACAGTGTCAATTTGCTAAAAAAATACACCTGCAACTAATTAAATGCTATATGTGATGTCGGGTTAGTGGTCTGTAGATGAAATAACTTTGGTGATTGAGGACAACACAAACAAGAGTATGGTCATTGGAGATTTTCGGGTAGAGTAATTTACTTAGTAAGCTACCGATGGGTTCGGGTTTTGTAACTTACAATAAAAATTATAAACGGTAATTTTATAACCCTGTCCTGCATATGATAGATCACGATGAAAATTTTTGTATGTAGGATAGTCAGTCTGGTCGGTCAGTCTGGTCGGTCAGGCCGATACAATTTGGTCTCCGCCTCAGTCCCAGTTTTTGTCATCGGGCCCACATAACTATAATGCTATTTTTTATATTTTTCTATATATAATAGTTTAGTTTATAATTTATAATTTATACAAAACCAATTTTTTAAAAAAATATTTTTAATAATATATTTTTCTACTTAATTTCTTTCTTAAATATACAATCTTGGGCTTTGCTGTATTCTTTATAATCTGAATCTTTTCTTGAACGGTCAGAAGTAGGCAATTCATTGTTTAGCGAGCTAAGTAATTTTTCATTATCATCATCATCACCATTGTTTAGTGAGCTAAGTAATTTTCCATTGGATGCAAAACTATCATTTATTTGATATGGTTTGGTTTTCCAATGGCTCGATACGTTAGCACTTATTGGAGAAATGAGCGCTGGGATTGCAACACTAATTCCCGTTGCTAAAAAAAATGAAGCAATAGCTGATGAACTAATTAGGATTGCATTATTACTAACTACTTTAGCCGCTGATATCATAACATTCTTCATCAACACAGCTTGTGCTGCTGATTCTGCAAGAATACTTCCTGCAGCTGTCGTCAATCCTACAAATGTTGATACTCCTGTAGTTGTTGCTACTCTAGGACCATTAATACAATTAATATCCAATTTCTTTGAATCTGTTCTTTCAGCGCTATCAGTCGATTCAATATCGAATTCTTTGTAACCTCTAAGTAAAGAAAATACTAT